GACTTCTATTCATTTTCTTTTCTTATGACTAATTTATCCCTATTAACAATTTAGAATTACAATTTTATCTAGCAAATTATAGACTAATATAGACTTTTTAAAAATAAAAAAATTTCTAACAGGTGTGTAATTGAAAAATCAAGTAAGGTTTGGTTTCAGATTTTTTTTTTTGCTATCTTTTGTACTCTCGTAGGATGCTTTTATTTTATAGAGCATCTACTGCAATAAAAAATAATAATAATAATACTTGCCTCCTTCCCTTAAAGAAGATGTTCCACCTTCCAGCAAATCACAATTTGATATACAAATAATTTATAAAAAAAAACACAAAAAAAAAACTTATGCAAACATGTTATACTGCTATTGGCATGAATGTAGGAGTTTCTACTTACAAGGTTAGGAGGGAAGTATTTTTCAAGAAAAATAAAATTGGTTTAGGAATGATTTAGTGATTTAGGATTTAGGATTTCGAGTTTAGACCCGTTTGGTTCACCAAAACGGGGCTAGCTCTCTCTCTCTCTCTCGTGAGGATGACAAAAACGACGTGGAGGGTGGCGTCGTCAGGGGTAGAGAAAAACGACATGAAAAAAGCACAGTGATTTAGGCATTAAAAATTGCAAGAGGTGGGGGAAGGATGTTGAAGTTGCAGCGCTTATCTCTGCGGATGATGGCTCTCAAACCCCAGCGCCTCCACAACAGTACCTATCGATCTCTCTCTCTTTTTGTTTCCAATTGAAAACGCAGACTGTTTGGAGTTTAGATTGAGCCATTGACTCGCTCACAGTTGCAGAGACGACGTCGCAGAGCGTAGCAAAAAGGGTGAGGACGATGACCACTGAATCCTCCATAAAAGATGCCTTCGCCAAATACACCGATTACCTCAATGACCTCGTAAATCCCTAAATTCAATTTCTCTAATTGCATTAATACGAGTGATTTCATGTATGCAACTTGCGTGAAGCTGGAGGCTTTTTGTTTAACAATGTGGGGTTTTGTGTCGCCATTTAATCGTAGAATGAAAAACGGGAAAGAGTCATAAAAGCAAGTCGTGATATCACCAGTAACAGCAAAAAGGTCATCTTTCAGGTGCACAGGTAAGAAAGCTGAGACCTTTGCGTTTGTTTTGTAATTTGTCTTGCAACTGCTTTGGTGGCATGCATTGAAATGTTGTTGCTGTAAATTTGAACTTGAACAGAATCAGTAAACACAACAAAGAGGAAGTTCTGCAGAAAGCAGAAAAGGATTTAGCAGATGTGACTGATCGGTACATCTCCCGACTGGTTAAGGAGCTGCAAGGGACTGATTTTTGGAAGCTAAGACGAGCATACTCACCTGGGGTGGGGTGGATTCTCATTCTCCTTCTACTTCTGCTTGATACTTATGTGATGTCCACTAAATGTTATGCCTCGTTAAATCTGCAGGTACAAGAATATGTTGAAGCTGCAACGTTCTGTAAATTCTGCAGGACTGGGACTCTTTTAAACCTTGATGAGATGAATGCTACTTTGTTACCACTCAATGATCCTTCTCTTGAGCCTTTGCAGATCAATGTCCTTGACTATCTTCTCGGGGTAATTTTTCCAATTTTGCTCTTACCTTCTTTGTGCGAAAAGCAAACTATAGGCCAGTTGATTAACTGAATATGGTTTTTGGATTAAGTGGCATTAACTGTGTATCTGCGTGTGTGTATCTGTAACACATGGACGGATATATATATTTTAGGAGGAGTTGTTTGGTATTCACATGCACCTTTTGGATTTGACTGGAGAGCATTCATATAAACACATACTATATCCATTCCTCAAACACCAGAAGAGTAACTCATTGTTGTCCAGCTTGCAGATTTGACTGGAGAGCATTCATATAAACACATACTATATCCATTCCTCAAACACCAGAAGAGTAACTCATTGTTGTCCAGCTTGCAGATTTGACTGGAGAGCTGATGCGGTTGGCAATTGGTCGAATTTCAGATGGTGAACTTGGTTTCGCTAAGAAGATATGCGAGTTTGTGCGTGAAATTTACAGGGAACTAACCCTTGTTGTCCCATTTATGGATGATAGTCATGACATGAAGACGAAAATGGATACAATGCTTCAAAGTGTAATGAAGATCGAGAATGGTATGGTGTCGACAATTTTCTTGCACTTAACCATGACAAAAAATGTTATAAATGTATTTATCTCATGCTTTGGAACGTCGCTACAGACTGGAATATTAGGAAGAACTAAATAAAATAATAGGAAATAGGGTAATTTTCTAATTGCAATCTGTGTATGGAATCAAACTAGGACCTTTGAATTTTAAGTCATGCAAGTGTATCTCTTTCAAAATTGAACAACAAACACTTATATGTTTTATATTTTCAATAGAGTTGAGAATAAGAAAAGCTGGAAATTTAAATATTTCTGAAGTAGTAATCTACCGTAACTAAGTTTCAAATTTATGTTATAAGCTTGTATAAATTATACTTAACGTGTACCTAACAAATTCTTAATTCTATGGTTGAATCCTTTTAATAACTAACTGGAGATCTTTCTGTAGCTTGCTTCGGTGTGCATGTGAGAGGATCAGAGTATATGCCCCTACTTGGCTCCGATGATCCAACTTCATTCTTATTGGGAGTGCCTGATGTTGAAATATGATGTAATTGCTGCTTGTCACATTCTCTTTCTTACTGCATGATTACTTCTATGTGGTTTTAACCAAGGAGATGAGTTTCTTATTTTCGACAGGGAAAAAGGCTTGGATTTCAAGGGGCATAGATGATGGGGCACATACATCTTTGTTCAGAATTGTTTGCAGTTCATCACCATGCGGTCGCTACTCACGGTCACACAGCAGACAAGAGATTGTGACTTTTGAGGAACAATTTCGTGTAGGTTTCCTTATGAAAGCCTTCATAACAATTTTCTTCTACTTCTCTGTAAATTGATGAGAATTAGATAGAGCTTGTAGTAAAACCCTGCCAAAGATGTGTTAGACATGAGGTTCACTTGAGAATGTATTGAAGAAACTGTTTTATATTTCTCACATCTGTTTACAAGATACATTCCCTATTTATATACATGGTCAAACTCTATCACTAGTGCATGCCATCAGTTACTAATCTTAAAGTAATCTGTAAAGGTTAGGAGCACATGTAGTTGTCTTTCACTTTGGTCAGCACAAGTCCTCTTGGTCGACACCCACTGCTATTTGTCCAGCACTTTATATTTGTTTATATCACAATTATCCACTCATATATTCCTGATATGTTTGTTTATTATCACAATCTTGTTAAGCCAAGGTTTCATCCAGTTTATTAATTTCTTTTAGGTTATCTGAAGTTTACGAAAAGAGACTATAAAGGGCCTGTTTGATAACTATTTCATCCTCTCTCTCAATCTCAATCTCATTCTCATTTTCCTCTAGCACAAAAAATAAAAAATAAAAACTAAAATTGAAATAGTTATCAAACGCCCATATGTTGTTTTAGACATAAATATTTGCGAAGATGTGCTATAATTAAGGTTGCTTGCGAGAGTATTGCAATCATCAAAAGGTTGCTGTCACCTCATTCATGCAAACAAACAAGGAACACATGCTTTAATGCTTCAACAAAGCAATTGTCTCCGACAGATGTTGCTCTGAATTCTCCATGCATGGATATTGGACAATATAAAAGTTCGATTTTACCCAGATATGTTGCATACCTTTTAATGATTTTATTAAATATTTTAGCCTTTTGTGGATATCTGTGATCCAGTGTATAACGACAATTATAATACTTAATTGAAAGCCCAACCACTCATGAATCATGGGCTAATTAGTCATACTAATTAATCATGAGTTTTTCTATTTAACTCTGCACTTCTCTTTGTTCACCCCAAATTCTAATTCAAATTTTCACAATTTTTAAGAAAACCCCAATATCTTTCCAAACTACTCCTAAATAAATACACATTCAATAGAAATAAATATAAATAAAAAATTCATCAACCTCACACCCAACATCCCATTATCTTGCCCCTCACCGCTTAAATGTAACAATATTATGAAATGACATGTGATAATTTATCAATCTCAAGTATCATTTATTAGTTACAAATTTCACATATATGATGACCTCACCTCAGTACAAACTTACTTCCAAATAGACTTCATTCAATTATCAGGATAAGGATAATTACATACTGCTCTTTGCCACCAAATCTTTTAACCATTTCTCTATGTCTTACTGAACCTTTTGGACAAGTATAGACCTGCAAATGTGTGCCAACAAGTTGACATCCGAACAAAAAAGCTTTTAATTTATTTTAAATTACAAAACTGTCATTAATTTCTTAAAACAAACTCAACCCCAAAACCTTATTAAAAAGCCCAAAACACTAAATAGGGCACCAAAGTAATTTAAGAATCAAAATTAAATTCAATAGGGCCCGCTGTCATTTTTTGAGTTTTTTTTTTTGTTTGTTTATAGAAATTAAATGGTGTAGGGTTTATTTATAGTTTTAGTGCTAAGAATAGGTATATGACTAAATATCTCTATAATATTAGTCCATGATGTCATATGCAATGATAATTAAAAAAAATGTATTAGGGTTAAGTATTAAGTTGGATGACCTTTTTTGTCTTTTTACACAATAATAAAACTTAAGAACTTAATGATTTCAGTATTGAGGTGAATAAAGAAAAGTGTGGGGTTTAAATAGAAAAGCTCTTAATAATTTGATAAATAATCGACATCATGCATGAGAGCCGTGGTTAGAAAATCATCTCCAATTGAAAGTACACTTTCATATGAATAATTCCCAAATTGTGTGCCAAGGATTGTTAACGGGGTTTATGTCTATGCTGTGATAACATATATCACACAAAAAGTTCATTAATCAATTTTTATTTTGTTATAAATACTGCTTAGGTTAGGTTAGGTGGATTTTTTTTGTTTTTTGTTCTTGAGATTGCTATATAATAGAAGCAAAACTATACTGCTTAAGCATTGCAGGAAAACAGCAAAGACCGTGAACTTTCCTGTCTTGAATACCATGGCAACACCTCAACCTCCTCCTGCTCTTCCCCAATACTTGCAAGAATATGAATTCAGCCAAGAAAACAGAGACTTTATATCCTCTCTGCCTACAGAAAAAGGTTGGATTGCAAACCACCTTCATCAGTACCAAGGTTTTTGGCATGCAACTAGGCACATGCAGGGAGTTTTAGCATCCCAGAAACACTTCCAGGCCCTAGACACTGATATCCTTCTTGTTAGCACTCCCAAATCAGGCACCACTTGGCTCAAGGCAGTTCTGTTTGCCCTAGTGAAAAGGGTGCACTATCCAGACCCTCAGCAACACCCTTTGCTCACAAACAACCCTCATGTTCTTGTGCCCTTCTTGGAGCTGGATGTGTACATTGAAAAACAGGTTCCTGACCTCACCTGCTTGGCACCCCCGAGGCTCTTTTCGACGCATTTGCCATATGTGTCTCTGCCTGATTCTGTCAAAAACTCTGCTTGCAAAGTTGTTTACTTGTGCAGAGATCCTAAGGACACATTTGTTTCTCTTTGGCACTTCGCCAACAAATTGAGAGCCAAAAGTAGGGGCACCATTTCACTTGAAGAAGCGTTTGATAAGTTCTGCAAAGGAGTGAGCTTGGGTGGGCCTTTTTGGGATCATGTGTTGGGGTATTGGAAGGAGAGTTTGGAAAGGCCTGAAAAGGTAATGTTCTTCAAGTTTGAGGAAATGAAAGAAGAGCCCACTCTTCACTTGAGGAGGTTAGCTGAGTTCTTAGGGTGCCCATTTTCCCCAGAGGAAGAGACACAAGGAGTTGCGGATGATATCTTAAGGTTGTGTAGTTTTGACAATTTGAGCAATTTGGATGTGAATCAAAGTGGGAAATTATCATCAGGTGAGGAGAATAGTACATTTTTCAGGAAAGGTGAGGTTGGAGATTGGATGAATTATCTAACAGATGAAATGGTGGAGAGACTAGATTGCATCAATGAAGAGAAGTTGCAAGGTTCTGGGCTGAAATTCTAGGTTTGCTTAGTGTGTGATTATTTTTAGTTGTGTTCTTTGCATGCGTGTGATTTTGTGTAGTTTTGACTTTGGTTGGGTCCAATGTCAATTAAATAAATCTCATGAAATAAATAATGTGATCGTATAATGGGTTTGTCATTTAACCCAACTTGTATAATATCAATGATTGAATAAGATATAAAGTGGTGGGTCAGGTTAATTACTTATTAATTTGTTAGTGGATAGTGAGCCACACATTTGAAGAGTTGTGCAACTTAATGCCCGTTTGACATTGCTTATTTGAGGTGATAAGTAATTTTAAAAAAAGTTTTGAAAGCCCAGCCCGTTTGGTAAATTATGAAAAAATCACTTATTGTTAAAAATTGCTGTGAGAAAAAGCTATAAGGGAAAGCAACTAATGAGGTGCTTTCATTTTCTGATTATGCATAAATCAGTTTCGAAGAGGCGCTGGGTTTGATGATTATGCAGGAATAATTTTCTGATTATGCGGGAATCAGTACCAACAACACTTTTAACAAAAAGTTTACCAAACGTTAAACTGCTTTCTCTCACAGCAAATCTGACAATGATTATTTTCACAGCACAGCAATACCAAACTAGCCATTAGTTGCAACGGGGGATAACATTGTTTTGCTATCCTCATTTTATGGGCTCTACAAGTTCCATGCTTGAAGTTTTGCATTATATTATAGTTGTTGTTGCTATTGTTTGGGCCCAATTTCTGCACACCAGACCATCAGTCTATTGGGCTATTTTTGCAAACAAGCTATGGGTTCTATTTGCCAAAAATGGAGAATAGCCATAGCTTTTCAAAGAAGGAGGGTTAAAATAAACCAATCACCTAAAGTAATTTTCACATGAGATATTTTAATTACCACCAATGGTGATTTAGGCCCAGTTTGGGATTGCTGTCACTTTTAAAAAAAAGTTGCTTCTGCTGTGCTTTGAAAATAATTAGCTGTAAAGTAAAGCAGCTCCATGTTTGGTAAACAATATTTTTAAAGTACTGTTAGTACAAAAAGCAGTGTCAAAACCGTTTGGTAAATTTTAATATAAAATTGTTGTAACTGTGAATAATGACTAAAATAGACATGATGTTGAAAGTGTTATGTACTAATCATGTGGTGGTAGTGGTAGTGATGGAGTAGAGTTGGTGGTGGTGATGAAGGTGGAGTTGGTGGTTGTGGTAGTGGTGGTGGTGGGGATGGCGATTGTGGAGGTGGTGGTGGTGGCAATGAGGAGGATGAGGGTGTGGTGGTGGTGGTGGATTTGGGGGTTTTGGAGGAGATGTTGGTTGTGGTGGTGGTGGTTGTGGAGGTGGAGGTGGAGGTGAAGGAGGAGGTGGTGGTGGAGGTGGTGGACGAGGTGGAGGGGTGGTGGTTGTGGTGGTGGTGGTGGAGGATGAGGATGAGGAGGATGTGGTGGTGGTGGTTGTGGAGGTAGTGAATGTGGTGGTGCAAGTGGTGGAGTTGGATGTGGAAGTGAAAGTGGTGTCATTTTTTAAAATGAATGATGGTATTTTGGGAATTAAAAAAATTTCTTAAAGGTTCATCTCTTCTTCTTTTAAAAGCAGCTTTGAAAAGCAACCCAGAGCCTGCTTTTAAAAGTTGCTGTCAAAAGGCCACTGCTTTTAAAATAATCAAGATATTTTATTTTTACCAAACACCTTAAACTACTTAACTTTAAAGTGAAGTAGGTTTTGGGCGAAAAAAAGCAATCCCAAACGGGGCCTTAATCGAATATCCAAGTTTAATTGGTTTATTTTTACCCACTTTCCAGATTACATGTTTTGAGCTTAAGATTTGATCATCACCCGTTGGTTACCAACTCAAAACCAAATTAGACAACTCTAAAGCTAGAAAGGTAAAAGCAGGGCACTCTTCTCAACCATAGCCAGTGGCTTCCCAGGAAAATAGGCAACTACAAGCCAAAGAATATTCGGTCGATAGGAGGCTTTTACGAAAATGGGTTGAGAAAAGCAAAGCTAGAAAGCCGACTTATTCTCTTAGAGTTGCCACGGGTCAGTGGATGAACACTTTCCAGCAATTGTGCTCTAGTTCTCATCATGCATTTCTTTATAAATACAAGAGTATGTGAACTAGAGAAAGGACAACAAAAGCAAACCAACAAAACATACAACCAAAAACTCTCAGTCAAACTGACAAAAATCAAAGATCATACGATCTCAAAAGCCTTCAAACTCAGAAGCAATCAAGCTATCTAGCTTACAAAAGCTATCCAGTTTTCAACAAAACAGGCATAACTCAGATTTCTGACTTCAATCCAGCTCAAAGAAGTAGCTCACCAACTAGGAAAACGAGATTTCTCTCGTTGCAAATGCAATTCAGCTCAGAAGAATCAAGCAGAACTCAGCTTTCTGTCGTTACAAATTCGGTTCAAAACAGGTGAACCAGGCAGAACTCAGGTTGTTCATCATATGAAAACCTCAACAAATGCCTAGAGACACCTTGATGTCCTAAGCTCACAAGAATAGCTTACAGGTGATCCCCAGTCAAGCAGAACAGGTACTGAAGTGCAATTACATACCAACAGCTGCCAATCCAGCCACTTCCAATCAAGTCTAGGTTGGAGAAACCCCAGTTCAACCACAACAGAGACACCAGGATGTCTTAATCTCATAGAGATAGTCTCTAGAACATGCAGAACAGATGCAAACTCCTAGTTCTGCCCCCTCGTCAAGCCTCTCCATGGCTCAAACTGATTATAGCTCTGCCAATTTCAATATTGGTATCGATTTACAGCTAATCTCCATTAGTTAAAGGTACTGATATGCAATTCCAGTACAGATACATCCAGTCCAGCTTGAGTCACAGACGGCAATCCAGGGAGAAATCGAAGTCCAATGTTTTGATGTCTTCCCAGACTTGGCAGTTCATTTTATTTAATGTATAATAAATAGTTCTCCTTGAACTCGTTTGTTTTATTTTCAAACACTTATTTTTTGGCTAAACTTACTAGTTTTTACTGTGTGAAATTATAAAGTCCTTACCTGTCTGAGGAAAGAAAAGAACTTTCTTGGGAGATATTCCTCACCCAAATTCACAATCACTTGATCAAAGTCAATAGCTTGGGATGCAAATTATTACATTTTACAGTATGTTAGGGTTTTTAACCGCTAACAGTGGCACGCTCGCACATAAAAGAAAGTTGACTTGTTGACTACCAATGATTTTCAGGTTAATGGAAAACTTTACCCTACCACCACAGGAACTACATCAAAACCGCTAAACAACTATATATCAAGTACTTGACGTTGTTGGTTGTCAAAATTACAATCACAAAGAGCCAAGCGAGGCCTTTAACACCACTCTTTCAACCTTTCCTATTCTGAAAACCATGTCAACAACTCAACTTCCTCCTTGTGTTCTTCCAAAATGCTTGCAAGAAAATGAACTCAACAAACAAAATAGAGACCTTATATACTCTATGCCTACAGAAAAAGGTTGGGTTGCAAACCACTTTCATCAGTACCAAGGTTTTTGGCATGCAACTAGGCTCATGCAGGGAGTTTTAGCATGCCAGAAACACTTCCAGGCCCTCGACACTGATATCCTTCTTGTTAGCACTCCCAAATCAGGCACCACTTGGCTCAAGGCAGTTCTGTTTGCCCTAGTGAAAAGGGTGCACTATCCAGACCCTCAGCAACACCCTTTGCTCACAAACAACCCTCATGTTCTTGTGCCCTTCTTGGAGCTGGATGTGTACATTGAAAAACAGGTTCCTGACAGTGACCTTACCGGCTTGGCACCCCCGAGGCTCTTTTCGACGCATTTGCCATATGTGTCTCTGCCTGATTCTGTCAAAAACTCTGCTTGCAAAGTTGTTTACTTGTGCAGAGATCCTAAGGACACATTTGTTTCTCTTTGGCACTTCGCCAACAAATTGAGAGCCAAAAGTAGGGGCACCATTTCACTTGAAGAAGAGTTTGATAAGTTCTGCAAAGGAGTGAGCTTGGATGGGCCCTTTTGGGATCATGTGTTGGGTATTGGAAGGAGAGTTTGGAAAGGCCTGAAAAGGTAATGTTCTTCAAGTTTGAGGAAATGAAAGAAGAGCCCACTCTTCACTTGAGGAGGCTAGCTGAGTTCTTGGGGTGCCCGTTCTCCCCAGAGGAAGAGGCACAAGGAGTTGCAGATGACATCTTAAGGTTGTGTAGTTTTGACAACTTGAGCAACTTGGATGTGAATAAAAATGGGAAGTTATCGTTTGGTGTGGAGAACAGTGCATTTTTTAGGAAAGGTGAGGTTGGAGATTGGATGAATTATTTGACAGCTGAAATGGTGGAGAGACTAGATTGCATCAATGAAGAGAAGTTGCAAGGTTCTGGGTTGAAATTTTAGGTCTGCTTTCTGCTTAGTGTGTGATTTTTTTTAGTTGTCTTCTTTGCAAGCTTGTGCGTATGTGTACTTTTGTCTTTGGTTAATGTCAATTCTATTAAATAAACCTCACGAAATAAATAATGTGATCGTTCGTATCTATATATTTATCAATAACAGCATTGTCACAAGCATTGTCATTGTTGAGTGATATATTAATTGCGTGAGGAGAGAGGTCCACACTCCACAGTGTGGTGAGACCTTTCCCCTCTCCTCAAAGAGAACGTTTAGTAAATGTTAGAGTACCACTCTTTTTTCATCTTTTTTCAGTGCTATAACTATATAGTATGTTCAATCTCAATTCACACCACCCCACCAAATCACAGTCCTGCAGAGGTTGTCATGCATTCTGCTATTTCGTTAAGGACGACCACTCTGGTGCTCAGACTCAGACAAAAAAAGGAGTGGTGCTCAGACTCAGACCAAAAAAAGAGAGGAGGTGCTCAGACTCAGACCCCAAAAAAAAAGGACCACTTTGGTGCGCTGTAACTATACAGTAGTAACAGTAATGTTAATCTCAATTCACACCACCACCCCACCAACTCCGAGTACGAAAATGGAGGTTCCACCCCAAAACCAATTGGCAATGGAGGGAGTAGCCCAGCTCCTTATAAACCCAGGCTTGATCCCTTAACTTTTCAATGTGGGACAAATACCCTCAACACGCCCCCGCACGTGTGGCGAACTTTCAAGCCTAACACGTGGACAACACATATTGGGTGGCGTGGGAGCACGTGTGGCCGTTGGGCCCAACACGTGAAGCCTTGCTCTGATACCATGAAGAAAGTTGAGGTTCCACCCCAAAACCAATTGGCA